ATGGAAATAGTCAAGCCTACAATTGTTAGTCTTAGTCAAGACCACAACTCTAGACTAGTTCCACATTTAGTTGTTCATCTCTATGTAAGGCTATAAATAGCCCACACTTCCAATGGTTTTAGGCATTCAATCAATAAATCAGATTTTGAGAGTTTTCTTGGTTTCTCCAAGGCTTCTTGAATACCTTAGAATTTCTCTAGGTGTTCGTGACTTATCAATCTAGAATCGCACTAGGTTGTGGCGTCTTCTACCATTATACCAAGGTTCGTTAACCACGTGATTAACGGGTTGAGGTCATCCGCTCCAAACTTGGTGTCCTCTTGTCGATCCTGAATCTAATCTTTTACGGGTTTCGTCACAAGGTTGGCGACGTTCGTATCAGTTGGTATCAGAGCTAGTTAAGAGGTATCACGTTATATCCCTTTATTTATTTCCTTTCGAGTCAAGTTGTCCAAAATTCTGTTTTCGTGTTCTAAGTTTGCTATCCGCAATTTCCAGATTTGTTGCATCGTGTTCTTGCGTTATTTTTCCAGATTTGTTGCATCATAAACTTGCGTCTAGTTGTTGTTAATTGCTGTGGTTAGCCTTGTTTGGTCCAGCCTTTTTTTTGTGTCTTATTCTTGATTCTTTGTTTGTGTTTGTGTCTTGTTTCTATCCTGTTATATCCATTTAATTCCAGTCTTTTGTTCTATTTGATCATCCGAGGTTACTGTTCATCCGAAAAAAAAAAATATAGCTGGCTGACCTTACAAAATTCTTGAAAATCTGTCTTGATCAAAACTTGGGTTTTTTGAAGTTCTTGATTGTTTAAAACCACAATCTTGAAGTTCTTGAAACTTTAGTTGGGATTTTTGAAAGCCTCCAGAATTAACCATTGATAAGAAGAAGAACATTCAGCCATGAAATTTGATTCTTGAAAGCCAGCCTTCCTAAGCCACGAAATTTGACTCTTGAAAGCTTCCAAATTTGACCATTGATTGTGATAAATGCCTTCCTAAAAGCTGACCATCAAAAAAAAAAAAAAAGAGCACCAAAACAACCACCAACCCTACTCCAATTCCAAGTTGGATTTGATTAGTTTAGTCCAACTTGAATAAGGCTGTCCAGATTTACTTCAATTTCGTTTTTACAGCCTGTTAAATCCTTTTTGGGATAGGAAAAGGGGATTAGTTCCGGAATAATCCAAAAATTTCCACTATCCATTATTTCCTAAATTGCTGCAATAAGAGCAAGTGTTGGTGCACTCTTTAGGCAGTTGTTATTGAGTCAAATCTTTATAGCTTTCTTGAATCAGTTGTTCTGCTTATTTTTTCCAGTAATTTCCAGCCAGAGTAGTGTCCAAATTTCCAGCTCTTGTATAGAGTCATTTGCCAAGTTTTTGTGTTGCATAACTAGTAGTCCTTTTGTCGTGCATCTACGCATTTTTTCCAACAAATTCCAGCAGATTATTTTTTCCAGTTCTTTTGAGTCATTTTTGTCTTATACCTCCTCAAATTTCCAGCTTATAACGAGCCACATTTGAGTAGATTCTTGTGCGAAGCTAGTTGAACTTTTCAGGGAAATTTTCTACTTTCTTCAAGGGAAGCAAGCAGAACCTTGAGAACATTAGAGTGTTTTAAACACTTGAGTGATACACGAGTGACGAGTGTAAACATGTGAGCTTGTGTGGTAAGGAAAAATATCTTTTGTTTCACTAAATTTTTGCAGGTTTCCTCAATACATCATGGCGAATACGAGGCATTTAAAAGCTAGCTTACAACATCTTCTTCCTGATCCTAAGGGAGTCGAAGAAGTGGCATTACGTGGTGTAAATGAGCAGTTGGACATCGTCAAATCTCAGTTGCATTGTTGGTTTTATACTCGTTGTGGTGTCAAAGATAAAACATGCAGCTTGGCCATTGATAGGAGTTGTGAAGTCAATCTTGCAAGCGCTATCATGGTTCACAAATTAAATCTTCCAACCATTGATCATCTTCAACCGTATAAGTTGTCGAGTGCTCATGGTGATGTTTGGGTTACTAAACACACACTTGTACCTATTCAAATTGGCAAATATGTGGATGAGGTGTTGTGTGATGTAGTCCCAATTCAAGTGACACATGTGTTGCTAGGTAAAGCGTGGATGTTGAGGCGAGAAGTTAAATATGATAGACATACTAATAAGTATTCCTTCTTATTTAATGGTCGTCGTTCTGCACTTGTACCACTTATTTATGACCAACTTTGTATTGATCTAGCATACATGAGAAGTGAACATGAGCGTTATAGTATGAAGAAAGAGCTAGATGAGGGAATTGTGACTGATGAGGTAAAATCTGAGGGAGTTGAAAAGGAGAAAGAGGCTGAGAATAATGAGAGGAAAAAGACAGCTATTGAGCATGAGAAAGAGATTGAAAAATCCAAAGTGTTGACTGAGGAAGCGAAAGAAAGAAGGGATAATGCACTGATTTTAAGTTTCAACAAAAATGAGAGTGAGGGGACTTATTGCCATTCTAACAACCTTAACATTGCTCTGTCTAGTGTTCCTTGTTTTGTGCAGGTTAAGCAAAGTGCAATCGTTTTGATCTTACAATGTTCCATCCCAAAGACGCTTGTGCAATTTGCGAGTTTCCATGGAGTTTGTCTTCTAGGAGTTAGATCAATTTGGTTCCCATTCATGGAATCAGATAATTTCAATGCTGTTCACGTCTTTGGAGGATCAAACTATGTGTACCCTCAAGACCTTAGAACCGACCATGTTCCACGAGTTTACACAAGGAGCGAGGTCTTCAATGGTCACTACAATACCTATGCTCATCTTGCACCTAGTCCACTTGAAGCTCCAACTTCACCAAGTCAGCTTCCATACTTTGCAAGCTTATTCAAGTTTGAGGAGTATGATTTCATAGGATCTACATCGCATCACGTTGAGGATCCTTACCTCATGATCACAAGCGATCAAGTTGGGCATACATTGAAACTGGTTCGTGAGATTCAAGGTTCAACAATGTTTACTTTCCAGCTTAGCAAGTGGTTTATGCATTGGATGAAAATTGTGGTAATCATAACAAAATTGACTCGACGGCATGTAACTCTTCTTATCATCATTCATGCTTCAATTTGTGGGCAAATTGCTTTCAAGAGAAGGGGAATGATACGAGTCAAGCTATGCCATCGGATAAGGTTCAAGTCCCACTAGGACTGGTAACTCGAGCACGAGCTAACAAGATGAGGGAGGAACTCCAAGGACTTGTTCATGAGATACAAGGCCAAGAAATTGTCCCCAAGGTCATTGAGAGTCTTGAGCATGAAGGAATGAAAGTCATCCATGTAGTGCACGTCAAAGAGAACCATGTGTGACCCTTCTCTAGTCACATTTGCTGTTTTAGTTAAGTCATTGTAATAAGGGCTTAATGGTCCAAATAGGTAGATAATAATAGTTAAGGTCATAAAATTTATTAAATAGATTGATACTCAACTACTTTCATTTCATACTTTCATACATTCCTTTCTTTGCTTGTTTTTGTGAGTAATCGAGTAATTAAAGTTCAAATCGAGCAATTATTATCAACACAAATTCATTAATTACGAAATATTCCAAGATTTCACGCCTTTAATTGCCGGAGGTCGAGCAATTATTATCAACAAAATTCATTAATTACGAAATATTCCAAGATTTCACGCATTTAATTGCCGGAGGTGACCATGTCACACATACAAAATTTCTGAAAATATTTTCCTCATTTGATACGTGGATTTAGATAAGTCGAATCTCAATTATTGCGTTCGTTGAATCCACTTTTACATTAAAAAAAGTAATGTTTTGATGAATATGTTTAAACCTAAAAGTTCATGGCTTCTTTTAGGTTGGAGAAATAACTTATTGGTAATATTTTTCTCATATGATATGTGGAGTTAGATAAGTCTAATTTCAACTATCGTGTTCGTTGAATCCATTTTTACATAAATAATAAAGTAATATTTTGATGAATATACTTAAACCTAAAAGTTCATGGCTTATTTTAGGTTGGAGAAGTAACTCATTGGTCATATGAACAACTTAAAAGTCCAATTACTAGTTAATTTTTGCTAGTGTACATTTACTATATATTTGTACATTTAAGTAGAGGATAGGACCATAAATCACCACCTGAAGTTCGAACTAATTACTGCTTGATGCTCACAATAATTTCATATTCAACGCTCAATAACATGTTTGAGCAAGAAAACAACACCAAAAGAAAAAAATGAAAACTCTTTAGCACCAAAAAAGCGATTGCTCAAACTTCATGATAACCATTTATCCATAAGGGAATCAGATAAGTATGGGAGCGTTTAATAAATCACAATATAAATGTAATAGAGAACTTGAAAAAGTTTTTGACATATTTTCCACTTTCAGCAATCAATATACCAAGGGCTTTCTCATTAAATATGTGTTAAAAGTCCAAAATTCAATTTGCAAATTTTTAATTAGTTGTATTTTAGAAAATTGTAATGATTATTAGATAATTAATTGCTCAGTGAGGTTAACACTGAATTTTCTAGAAAATTAAAATTGATGTATGTTATATACAAGCTAAATGCTTTCATTTTGATTGTATGTCAACTGAAAATGGAAATGATCTAGAGACGAGTAACGATAATGCCGAGATTAGTAAAACTAATGAGGGGGTTATGAGGTTCACACTAAATCCAAACTACGAGAGATTTATATAGCTTGTAAAATTAGAGGGGGTTATGTAAAAATTAGCTTTATCACAGGGGGTAAAGTATAATTTTCCCTATTATAAATTTAAGACCAGAGTACTTCTTCCTTGAAGCACCGAAATGGACTGGCTTATTTTTGCCTAGTCTCGTGTTAGCATTTAGCTAGGAATCTGATAGTCTTGTACCCAACCAAAAAGAAACCTGGTTCTATGGGACATCTTCTTCGTCTCCGATCACTTATCAGCACAGTTTTTGTGGTAATATAAATAAAGCCATCATACAATTGTAGAGAGAAAAAGAGGGTCGGGGGAATGGTTAAAGCGTCGTTGAGGAAATGTTCCCATTGTGGGCACAATGGAAACTGCTCCAGAACATGCAATGGCAAAGGGATCAAATTATTTGGAGTAAAAATCAATGTGGTGGAAGATGATTATGCAAACCGGCAAAATGAATCGATTAGAAAGAGCAAAAGCATGGGAAATTTAGAGACATGCAATGGTGAATGCAACGTGCCCGATGATGCTGATGGTTATGTCTCTGATGGCCTCATTCACGAGTCATCTGGAGCCAAAACTGCCCACGAAAGAAGGAAAGGTTTGTTATCTCCAGATATATACATCAAGAATACTACCATGTTTTTTACAGTCTTGATCTGTATTCGAATGATCAAATTTCCTGACAGGATCGTGCAATATGGATCACCATCGTGGCTTATTTTCTGTTTTAAACGATTTGATGATCTATTCTCTATTAAGCTTTTGACTTTATCTTGAACCATCGTGTATTTAATCTATTTCTGCCCAATAACAGAAAGTGAGAATCTCTGTCACCCGCCCGCCTCTTTATTCTTGGCCGGGTTTGAGTTGAGAAAGTTAACAATATCTTGTTGCTTCCAGTTTGAGTGCTGTTTATATTTTATCACTTTTGATTGGTATCCTTTGATTGTCTTTCAATGTTAAAACTTCTAGACAAAAACACTCCACTTACAATTTTTTTCTAGTGTTCTACGAAATTCATGTACATCAGTTTTCACTTGGTTTTCTTGGCAACATCCGAGGTAGAATGGTGGATGATGAATTTGGTTTGCTTATTGGAGAATATCGTTTCCCAGATGTATATATTCTTTTCATGTTAGTGTAATCTACTCATCCTGTTGGGAGATGTAGTAAACCACATTATTGAAAAATCGTGGCTCCCATGCATGACAGTGAGATGAAGGATTTGAAGGTACTCGATGTTGCACTTGAATTAGGAAAATAAGGAACAGATAAGTGGTCTTGTTGGCTGTTGGACAAATTAATTAGTACAGACTACAGGGTCTTCTATCTTGAAGGATCAAAAGTTAATTTGTCAAAATTTCTGGATGATTAAAACTCATTCAATCTGTCCATCAGGAAAGCCTTGGTCCGAGGAAGAACACCGATCTTTCCTACTCGGATTGGAAAAGCTTGGGAAAGGCGACTGGAAGGGAATTTCGAAAAACTTTGTCCACAGCAGGACTCCAACTCAAGTGGCTAGCCATGCACAGAATACTTTCTCAGATTGATGACAGCAACCGAAAGGAAGAAACGCCGAACAAGCGTGTTCGACATACCTCTCGACGAAATGGTGGGACTTCATCCTGTGCCAGAATTTTCATCTTTCCCTCCTCTTTTCTTTTTTTTTTTGGGTCTTTTGGTGGGGATACTTTACTATTATTATACACACAATTGATAGCACTTGATAGTTTTGATTTGCACGCGCATGTTCGCAGGCTTCAACTTCTAAACTGCCCTCTGCTTCAAACTCCCATAATGCTCCTATTTCACCACAGGTAATTGAGTTGGTCAGGAAATGTCGATATAGAAGTATACATTTCCCTCCATTTTGTAGTGATATGATACCACTGCCAAGTTGTAAGTGTGTGAGATCGGCCTAACAAGTAAATACTAGCAGATTACAGACGATCTACCTTTGTGGAATGGATTTTTAATAGACAAACATGTAATTACTTCATGGTACTTAAATGCATTATCTTTTCATCGTTTTCCAGGCAACCACCGCAGCGCAGGTTAAAACCTGTGAAAGACCCCACTTTCACCCAGGGCTACAAGTCATGCTGTTTCTGACTTGCACCGTCCACGATACATGGTAATCAGAAAGGTTTTGTTGCTATCAATTTTAGTGAATGTATGTCGAAGGATAGCAGGTTTTGTAACTCTACCATGCATGTTTCCTTAAAAGTCACCAAATTTTTCGACAGATTTATGAATGTGAAGCCACATACGTTTTACAATTAAGAGGGGTATTTTGGATGACCTTCTGATTAGCTACAATATTTAAGTTTTCTTGGCTTGATTCATTATTTTTTATGCAGTTTGGTGTTCGCGATCATGGGCAGGGGCTTCCAGCTTGCACGCCGCCGCCAAATGTCTCATTTCTCCCCATCTGGAACTTCTCGAATCAAAAGTTTGCCCCTTCTCCGACTACAGCTGCAAAATATACTCGTGGCCCTGCTGTAGCTCAACCACCCGCGCTGCATTTTCGCGGTTTCCATCATATATTCCACCCTTAACAGGCCCTGCAAATGAAGCAGCTATCAAGGATGGACTTGATCTCGGTGTTCAAGCTCTTACATTATAATTTGACAGCAGGACATAATAGGAATTCACTGTGATAAAGAGAATGGAATGTAATGATTAGTCTTATTGCCTCGTAAATTGAGCTTTTACTTTTGCTGCCGAAATTTCCATCGTGTTTTTTGTTTCACGGAGAACATCACACCTCATTTTCTCGACTTTACTTGCTTCACATTATTAGATCGTCAGTAACCTCGACAGAGTAAAAAGATGGCAGTAATACAACAAAGCTCTGACACCAGTTGAGTTGAAGATTAATGAGTTTGTATACTGGAATTAGAGGCGGCAAAATGGGCGGGATGGACGGGATTTGCTTGGGTTTGAGTTGGAATCGAGTTATATGGGTTTGGAATCAACCTTACCCATATGTGTTTTGGGACTAACTTGGGCGGGATCACTTTGGGATGGGTTTAGATTGATCCCGCCCAATACCCAAATCTATTTTCTACATATTTTTTTCCTTTAATTCATTTTTATTTTTTATATAATTTTAATATTTTTTATTTATTAAATTTCTTTTAGTTTTATTAAATAAACATGCAAGTGCTTTATACTCAGGATTCCTATCAAAAATTGGATTAACAAATAAAGGAAAAGATAGATATACATCCATATGCCAACATATATCAAGATGGCCAAGGTACTTAGGGTGTTGAATATTTATCCTCATCATTGTCTAAGGATGACAGGTCTAAACTTACTGAAATGCTGAAAATTCTTGTGGATAATGACCAGGAAGACTACTAGATTATATTCGCTGGTATGACTATAAAAATTGTTAAAGATAATTTTTGAATATAAGACTCTGTTTGGAATGACTATTTTTTCAAAAAATAAGTTTTTCAAATACAATATTACAGTAATATACAATAAGTGAAAAAACATCCCATCCATATTAGTATATCAAATATTTCAAAAAATTTTATAGTAAAAATTTTTCATATACACTGCTACAATAAAATATTTCAAAACACCACCCAAAAACAGTTAATCCAAACGGAGCCCTTGCTATTTGACCCCAATGGGTACCCAAGTATTTTCCAAAATTTCCCATCAATTAATGGGTACAATTGGGATTTGTCCCATTTTAAACCCAATGTCAAATTTCAGTGCCCATCCCGCCCAAAGTCCTCTTGGGCATGGGTAACCCATTGGGACTTGGGACAAATTGCCACCTCTAACTGGAATGTTGAGTTGAGATTCTTAAAAATTTTCCTCTGGTGCTCGGTTGGCAAGAACCAAAGAATATTGTCTTGACGAATGTTTTAGCTGCCGCAATCCAACCAAAAAAAAAAAAAAAAAGTTCAAGGTCCACGGAAACAGGGGAAGAAAAAAGGCGTTCGGGTATATGAATCAATCAAGAACGTACTACATTGACCTGACACACAATGACGGAGCCAAGGGACCCTAAATTTTGAAAATTTTAATTCATAATATGTAAGTATATGTATAAGATAAAGTTGATCCCTAATTTTTTACAATTTTAGTTTATATTATGAAAGTTTATATATATATATATTTGTGTGTGTGTATTTTTATTTTTTTTTAGTGTAAGCAGGAGGACTCGAACCGGAGACCTCTTGCTTACACTCCCTCCCCCCGTACCACCCAACCCATCCCTCCCCCCATGTGTGTGTCTGAATTAACCAACTTTGATTTAATTTTTTCTTCAAAAAAAGTTATTTATTTTTTATTGTGCTAATTATTTAACATTCAAAAAATTAAACATATAATTTGATAATTTATAGTAAATTGATCCAATTTGATATATTATAATAAAAGACTCAATTCATAATTATCAATGGGCTAAACAAAAATAATTACTTTATTGGTCCATATACAAACATACAACTTAGCCTAATTGATAAAAAATTTAAAATTAGTGATATATACTCTTGTTGACCCATATACAAATGTATAAATAATTACTTGAAGGTTTGGTGAAGACAATAAATTGAGTGATCTATCCTGTTGTTGATAGATTGATTATATTTGTTTTCACTCTTCCTATGTTAACTGCAAATATAGAACGGGCATTTTCAATTATGAATATAATCAAAACAAAGATTCAAAACAAAATAAAAGATAATTTCTTGAATGATTGTCTAACAATGTATATATAAAAAAAGGAAGTTGTTCAAAAATTTAGTACTGATTCAATTATAGATGAATTTAGTTCTATGAAGAACGTAAAGCTCAGTTTACTTTTAAGAAAAGAGGTTGAAATACAAGATATGCTAACATAACTTTTATCTTTTATTAATTAAAAATAGTTATATTTATATTGCATAGTTATATTTTTGTTTTTGCACAAGTGACATATTGGAGCATTTTCTCATAATATACAATTTGGGTAGTTTGTGATGTTATAAGATATTTAATCAAAAATTATTTCTTATCCTATTTTTTGTTATGACTATACTGCATGTTTATGAAATAGACATACCTTTATAATTAAAATTAATATTTGATATTTTAAGATGTCATATCTTAAATAGATGAAATTAATTTGAATATAACATATTAAGATAATTTTGTGCAGAAAATTTGGCCCCCTCCCAAGGAAAAATCCTGGCTCTGTTCTATAGTCATTAGAATGGATATTTTCAATTATGAAAATAATCAAAACAAAGCTCCAAAACAAAATAAAAGATAATTTCTTGAATGATTGCCTCACTATGTACATAAAAAAAGGAAATTGTTCGAAAATTTAGCATTGATTCAATTATACATGAATTTAGTTCCATAAAAGAACGTAAATCTCAATTTACTTTTAATAAAAGAGGATGAAATTTCAAGGTATGCTAACATAACTTTTTTCTTTTTTAAAATAGTTATATTTTTGTTTTTGCATGTGACACATTGGAGCATCTTCTCATAATGTGCAACTTAGGTGATTTGTGATGTTATAAGATATTTAATCAAAGGTTATTTCTTGTCTTAATTTTAGTTATGACTATGTTACATATTTATGAAATACATACCCTTATAATTAAAGTTAATATTTGATATTTTAAGATGTCATATATTTAAATAAATAAAAATTATTTTGAACATAACATATTAAGGTAATTTGTTCGAAAATTTTGGCCCCCCCCCAGGAAAAAATCCTGGCTCCGTCATGGCTGACACTGCCTTATGTGATGCTGTACCTATAAGCTCATAAAAATTAGGGATAATTTCAGAAACCTCCCTTGAGGTTTCAAAAAAATTTCACCTGGTTCCCCTTAGGTTTAAGAAATTACACTAACCTCACTGGCACAGTAAAGTACCTAAAATGCCCTTCACTTGATAAACAATTCTCAATTTAAAGCAATAGATTTACAAAACCCAAACAAAATTCTATATTTCCATCTCATCTATTTTTGGTCCTTTCTTTTCTAGTTAATATACTATTATACCCTTTTTTATTATCTTTAATTTTATGAATATTAGCAAATTGAAATTATAAAATTGACAGAAGGTGTAGATTATGTGTCAAACTATAAGGAAATGAAGAGACTCACAGTAATAGAGAAATAAATAATAAAATTGATAATAGAGAAATAATAGAGAAAACCAAAAATATGAAATTTGTCATAGTTTGCTTATTGTCAAGAAATTTTTTTGTAAAATGTCAGTAATTGCACGAGGATTTTTTCATTGGATGAGAAATTTTTTGTTATGGTTTTATTATAGATGTAGAATTTATTTTCTACTTTTGAGATATTAATATTTTTAAGGTCATAAAAGTGTTGTAATGGTGGTTTTAGATTAGATGAGCTTATATTGAAAAGGTATTTGGGTATTAAAATTTAATTTTGGGGCATAAAATTGATTGTCAATAACGTGTGTATGTATTTTTTTGTATTTTTATTTTTATTTTTCGCATGGAAAGCATCGAAATTGTACATGTAATTTAAGATCTTTTGGATAGTTACTTAGATTTGGAACTTACGATTGAATGATTGCCAGAGATTCAATTTGTCGATTTGTGTAAAGTGTAGAAGAAAATGATTAAATATACTTTGTTTTTTCTTTCTTAGTTTTGTGGAAAAAGACAACTTAGGATTTTTGAGAGAAAATCTAACTTGTTGAACCAATATTGTTATACAAATAGTAAAATATGCAGGTATATGTAATTTTTAAAACTTGAGGGGAGCTCTTTGCAATTATTAAAAACTTTAGGGGAGGTTTGTGAAATTATCCCTAGAGATTGTATATTTGTTGTAGGCTTGACGCATCACCCTGTGGACGTGTGAACTAAACATGAATTGACGGCCAAAGACGTACAGGGTTTTACATATTACAAAGTTGCCAAGTAGTTCACCATTTAGCCACTTCACAAACCATTACATGCCAATTTACTTCATTATTGGCTCAGTTAACATGTAGTACAAAAAATTCTCCAATATTTGATCCAAACTTAGCCCCACGATGGAACTGCTTGGTAAAGCCAGCCAGAATAGATCGAAGATAGAGTAACACTGCTATGCGTGACGCATCTCGAGGCAAAAAACAGTGGAACAGCAAAAAATTTGTTATCAATCAACAAATCCAATACAATGGTTAAGTTGGACACTACAAAATCCAATCCATTTGAAAGAATAGAACTTGAGTAGCTTATATATAAAATAACTACGACAGGGACCAACAATTGGCATCGCAGGTGACAAGCCTCCTTAGCAGGATATGACTGAGATATTGTTCAAGAACCGGGTTGCTCACTAAGAACAGCATCCACTCTTTTGGTTTACCGGTTGCCCTTTATCTGAACTGTTGGAGGCCTTGCAGTGTTTGCGGAAGGTTGACTCGCCATCCTGCAGGAAAAAAGAAAAACATCCAGGAAAAGATTTTAGCATATCTGGATTAAGGTGAATGCAACAGATATAATAAAGATAAAAAAATATTAGAAACCAACACTTTGGAACACCCACAAAACAATATCCAAGAATTC